GAATTTAATTATTACATTACATTATAATCTCCAGTAACACGAATTCTTTTCAGTAAATTACTGATGTTAATACATAACAGAAAATAGGATTTTTTTTCTGTGAAAATACAAGACTGACAAACGTCCTATTATTGTAATGACAGTTTTTAGAACATTGTAAATACATGTACCATAAATAAATATTTTTAATTTTTATAAATTGATCAGTATATGAGTAATCATAATCAATTTCAGGCATACAAATTAAAATTACTATTTTTTAAAGTAAAACGCAGAAAGACGAATATCTTTTAATCTATATAGAATTAGTGAGTCGTCTCTTTTTGCGTCAAGATTCAACTTTGCCTTTATATATATATTTTTCGTTATTTACGATTTCTCTTTTCATACTTTCAAAGATATTTTGTACCTTCCTCAGTTTACATTTTACGATTGTGAAATTTTGTAAGTGAATGAAATACTTTTTACGAAAACATTATTTTATTATTCAATGTGAAAATTCATTATCGTGTTATTAAATATTTAAATCAAAAGCAAGAGATCAAGCAACATATTTGGTTAACAGGTGTAATGCAAAATAGATGATAATCCAATAATTTGAGTTATTTCGTAAAAAAATTATTAGTGGTCCTTAAACTTTTAATTCCACATAAGAATTACATCGTAATTTAACCCTTTAGAGAAGATAATCCTGCTCTCATTATTTCGTCAACCAGAAGGAGATTACTGGCGATTATCGTGCTGAAAATTTTTATCTATGTAAGTTATAATATTCAACAGAGCATACACATAAGTGTTTTAATAGTATCTTACCAAGAATTGATGATTTGTTTTTTTACATTATAATTATCATAAATGCCAGCATCCGCAGCTTTTAAAGCTTCCCCTGTAGACAGATCTAATCCTACTGGTTCTCCTAAAGCAGAACTTTCCTCAAATAATTTAACGATTGTGTCTTGCGGATCAAATCCACTATTAATGGCTGTGAAATAAAAAAAATAAAAGATTAATCATGACAATGTTAGACAATGTTAGATAATATTAATAAAAATAAAGATCCATAAGTTATGTATACCGAGAGTTTTTGGAATGACGAGTAAAGCATCGGCATAGGCCTGTACTCCCAGACGTTGCTTTCCTTTCACTTGCTCTTTGTACCGTTGAAGAGCTTGGCTAACCGCAATCTCAAAGGCTCCAGCTCCAGGAACGATTGCACGATCGTCAATAGCGTTCTTTATTGCTCTAAGTCCATCACGCACAGCATCTTTAAGTTGTTCTAATGTAAATTTGTTAGGACCCTGGAATATCAGTACATTAGTACAGTATATTTTAGAATATTCGTATGCATCATCACAAATAAATCATTTGCATTACCTTCAATAAAATAGTTACAGAATTTGGCTCTTTGCAATCTTCTATAAATGTATATTTAGTTTCTCCCTGAAAAATAAATTAAACAAAATAAACAAAATAAATGGCGAAAAAGAGTCGTCGAATAATATATATAATTAAAGATAATAGTCATAGATACATAAAATAGTAAAACGGCGTATATTAAAATATAAAACAAATAAAACAAACAAGTTTCGGCTGCTGGATTGAGCCCTCCTCAGATGTAAAAAGAATATAATAGAAAAGACATAAAAGAATACAACAAAAAAATAATAATAAATCGATAACATTCAGTGACGCAACATTTTTATATATATTATTCGACGACTCTTTTTCGCCATTTATTTTGTTTATTTTGTTTATACTTAAAGAGTCTTTACACCGCTGTTATTTAAATAAATTAAATTTATAGAAAAAGTTTTCAGTTAACTTTATGTGGTAACTTTCATTTTTAATGAGAAGTATAGAAATTTACCAAAACATGTTCATACACAAGACCGGCCCATCCCAGATGTTCTTCTTTCAGATCATCCACAGAATTCATAGCTACGCCACCACACGCGAGTGCTAGGCGTTCCATATTTCTACGCTTAGCTCTGCGTAAAGCCATAATATTCTCTTTTGCGAGCATATCGAGAGATGATGGATCAATTCCTTTTTGATTTATCACAACAAATGATTTATCTGTTCCGTCGCACAACTTCTTCTTCAATTCGATAATCTTTTTTACGCGATTATCGATGAACACGCGTTCAGCAGCTACTAACTTTTCGCGTTCTTCCGCTGATTTGTAAAAGAATCCACTATTTACCTATAAAATTAAAATCCAGAGAATTATGTCTTTAATTAATTAATTATATTATATTAATTAAATTCTTGTCATTTTGCATTAGTATGTACCTCACTTTTCTCATATTCCAGGCTCACATTACAGGTCAGAATATATGCATTCTCCAGCTTTTTAGGCATATCTGGATGTCTAGATCCATGATCAGTGACTATGCCACGAATCAGAGTGGTATCATCTGCTGTTCTATGTTGCATTTCCATCAATTCGACCATGTGCAAATCAATTTCTTTGTCCTGCTGCTTAATTGCCAGCACAGCATCTACGCAGATCTCGGTTAACTTGTCAGCTACGGTATGGTGAACCTTTGTTCTAAGCGAAGTCCTCACAATATCTAACAGGCTTTGCTTATTAGGTTCAATCGCAATTTTCATCGAGTCTAAGATTTCTAATGCCTTAGCACGAGCCAAATCAAAACCATCTGTGAGCATTCTAGGATGCAGTCCTTCTGATATATACAAATCAGCTTGTTTCATGAGTTCACCGATGACCAGTACAGTACTGGTTGTACCATCGCCAGTCATATCATCCTGAGCGGTGGACGCTCTTGCTATCAGAGATGCTGTAGGATGTTGAATTTGCATTTCATGAAGGAGCACATTGCCATCCTTGGTAATCTTTATATCTCCGGATCCAGAAACCAACCTGGAAATTCATGATTAAAAACTAGCATGCTACTTATTATAAATATTTAAATTTATAGGCTAAATTTTTAATTAAAATTATGTCATTCGATTAGTGTTTTCTTAATGTGAAAGTTATACTGAAAATATCAGTGAAAAAAAACAAACAGTTGATACGATAAATAAGGAAAAACTACGTCGAGGAGCAACCCGCGGAACATCAACCCCTCCTCTCTCTGGTAATTCGTAAGTCATTTCCTAATAAGGAGAATAATGCGATGTCGGAATACTGCGACGTTCTACGAATTTCTGACGAATGAAAATCGTTGCAATGCATTCGGAGTCAAAGAGTTTCGAGACGTACGCGAAGAATCAGAGTGAACGGTGGCTACGATGAAGCGGCAAAATTATCGCGTGAACATACATCGTGGATACATACATTTTCATGGTTCCCTTGGGCCCCAAATTGGTCCTCATCACATCCTGAATACCTTTCGCGGCGGAAATATTCACTGCCAAAGCCTGCGCCGCTCGGGCGAATTCGGCCTTCGGATTTAATAAACTGATCGCTGCCATCCTCACAAATTATTCTCGTTTCCTCGTATCTTCAGGTATCTACCACGCTTAACAGACCTTCAACGTCTCCAAAGGCTATTCATAAAAGCACATAACCGATCTTCATGCGACGTATCCTCAAGGCGCTTTCACAAAGATCACAACTCATTGGCTCATCACTAACTTACGAGGTCTGTTCTTTTTAGCTTGGAGGTCTGTTCTAGTTTGTTTCACTCTTTTATTGCACTAATTCTTGCACGGTTTATCTTTTCTCTTTTTCTCTTCAACGTGGAGAAAAAAGAAGAAAGATGAACCGTACAAGAAGTTTAACTAAAAAGAACACGCCTATGGACTTGGCCGATTTATCGATCATGTAAAGAAGATGCGAATCAGCGGGAAAATATGAAAATTAAAGATGTGTATTTCCGCCATCTATTATAAAATAGTGACAAACAACTCGACGGTACAACATATCATTTCATCCTTGTTTAACATTGGCGAACAACAAGAATGTAATGCTGCACTGTCATGTCACGTGTGTTACTTGTTGGAAGACACTTATAGATATAGCAGAAAGATCACAAAAAATATAAACACAAAATCGATTTATTCTGTCATAAGAGAAAAGAAAATGTTTACAGTGGAGGACAGCGATATAAGGGATATTAATATTACAGAAACAAACACACGTACATCGCATGTTAACAGTTTACAAATTAATGCATATAATAGTTATTTAACAGAACGCTTGTAAGATTGTAATATCTAATCGTACAAAATGCAAACGGTCTTCAGAATTGTCAGATTTGATCTGGAATTATGTACAATCTTCTCTTAAAAAATACAAACATTCTGATTAATTAACAATGAGTGTGTTCAAGCCAGTAAAGCAGATAGCAAAGTATAAAATATATCAGAATAAAAATCTGTTAACAGAAATGTAGTATTACTTTTTAACTTATAATTTGTTACTATACAAATTATAATTTATATTACTTTATTGAAGTGTCCAACAATATATTACTATTTGTCAACAATATTTACTCAGCGAGGAACCTAACTGCTTCGCCAACTTGACCACACAACACTTAATTGACAATTAAGTTTAAGTATTAATTATAGTCTAATAGTAATAAAAAAATGAATATACAGTTTAACACCAAAAGCGCTTCCTTCTTTCATAAAAATTTGAAGCTGCAAACTCAAAATTTTCTTAAAAGCGATTGTGGTTAACTATATCGTTAGTAATAGAAATAAATGTTCCAAATAAAACTACTAGACTAGAGAACGGAAACAACATGTATATGTGTGTGTGCATAATTATTATCCGTTATCTCTTTAGAAAAATATGTAACATACTTAATTCCTATATGGGCAACACAGTAAAAAAATGTTTATTATCTGTATTTTTATCCAAGATATTCGAATTTCTGCTCCATAACAATATTATAATAATATCAAAATATTAATATTATTATTAGTATTATTATAATTATTATATATACATATTTTTTATATATAATATATGTTATTTCTTATAAATATTTTAGCAGTTGCTGCCCAGATAGGAATAAAAAATTTCGCATAAATCCTATCAAACTTTCTTATGGCACTACATGTTATTGATACACAGCTGAAAATTCAATATTACACAATCTCGATAAAAGATATCTTTAAAAAAATATGTTTTGTTAGAAACATTTTCCGGTAACATTTTCATCACGCTCTATTACAAGCTCTTATATAATAATACTAACGATGGTGTGAAACTTTCGTTATAGTGTATATATTCATATATTCCTTTATCTCTTTCTTTACAAAAAAAAAATAAATATCCTTTTTAGAACATTAAGATTCGTAGGATTGATAGGATCCGATGACTGAAGTTAAGTCATAACTACAGTGAAGGATCAAAGACTTAAGACCCAACACCTTATTTACTCTGCAAATATTTCGATAAATACATTAAAATATCAGATTGTACCCTTCTCCTCTTTCCTTCCCCATATAACCGCAGTTCTTCATATGCGTTTCTATTAGTCAAATATAAAATATTGATATCTTCCGTCTTTCAACTTACCATCTAATTTTTTAATAGTATTTTTTAAACGGATACAAAACTTGCTGCCCTTTCATTATTTGATATTTCTGTGATAGGCTCTTCTTTTATCGAATTTGCATCACTGACATCTTTTTCTTTTTCGTTCACTAAAATTTCATCTTTACTCGAGGAAACAATTGTATCATTTTCATCAATTTCTGATATTACATTTGTTTTAATAACTTCATTCTCTACAGTTACATCCTGTGTTGCTTCTTCCTCATCAACAGATGCAGCAACTACTTGTGCTTTTTTCTGTTTTCCTTTGGCTTCATTGCCGTTTTGCTTTCCGTTCACTGCTACAGTTGCTTTCCCTACATTTCTCTTCTTTTGTTTAGGTTCTGCCATATGTGCTTCTCCATTTTCTTTGACATCCACTTCAGACGTTACCGCTTCTGCCTCATTCAATTCTTCTGCCTGATCGTCATTGGTCTCTTCTACCACAGCATTAAGTTTTTTTTTGGAAGCAGCTTTTTGTGTCTTCCCTTTTTTTGCATTTTTCACATTTTTTATTTTTGGATTATCTTTCTGTATCGCTGCATTTTGTTCCTTGCTATTTTGTTTTTTTCTTTCTGTTTTCTTTGGTGGTGATTTAACAATTTCTTCTACAAGATTCTTCCTAGATCTTCCTTTAGAGGTCACAATAGCTAAAATAACAAAAAGTTATATACAATATTGCTTAAGTAACATTAACAACAAAATTGTTTTATAAAACGAATACTGCAAATAATATAGAAAATGGACAATTTTAAATGTAACCATGAAAATCTTTGGTGCACAGTGGATAAAAACTTCAATATATAGATCAGTAAATTTTACAAAATTAGTTTATTAACTAGTTCATTCTTATTTATTGTAAATATATCTAAATTATATGGAATACGACCGTAATGTCTTGTAAGCTACAGATTTCTTGAGAAATTCAGCTGGAATATCAGATTGGCATTTATTAAAAATTGATTAGGATTTTCTTTAAATGAGAATTCTCCCATTTTTGCCCTTTGTCAATTTTTATAGCAACGATAATATTCTGACAAACGTAAGATAAAATGGAAAAAATTTCAAGAGAAACACTTACGTGCATCAGAAGTTTCCATTTTCTTCTGTCTCCCGCGTTTTTTACTGGCCTTTGCTTCATTCTGCTCTACTTCCTCCTCGTTCACCTTGATAGTCTGTACCTCTGCAACAGCTTCATTTGCATCCTCCATATTTTTACGTTTCCTAGATACCTTTGCAATGGGCTGTGCTGGCGCATCGTTTTCTTCAACCATTTTCGCGCGACGAGGCCTCTGAACAGGATTATTTTCTGCATCCTTGATCCTAGTTTGCTTCTTGACAATTGGGACCTTAGCCTTTGGCTTTGTTTCATTCACCTTCTTTCCCGCCTTTTTCACCACTGCTGTAGCCTTGACGCTGCGAGTTTTTTTCTCTACCACCTCCTCATTGTTGCTCTCTACTGTTGTTTCCTCAGGTTCCTTGTTGGTTTGCTTCTTAGATTTACTTTTCGTAGCGGTTTTCGCGGTAGTCGTGGCAGTAATAGTATCGGCGGCATTTCTCTGTCTACTGCGTGACTTCTTTGGCGAACTCGCCGGCTCGCTAACCACCTCGTTGTCTTGCTTAGTTGCCTTTGCTTGCCGGCTTCTACTCTTGGTCTGCTTCGGTTCGTCCGCGGTCGTTGATTTTGCAGCTGTTTTCCTCTTCTTCGGTGGAGTTACACTGCCGTCAGCGGCAGCCACGACACTTTCCGCCGCCGCCTGCTTCGCTTGCCTGCGCCGTGCCATTTAGCAGATTTAGCTCGAACTGATTCGCCGGCTTGCTCTTGATGATGTCGCTGTAGCCGCTCTCGCTGAACCACGAGAAACCGCGTGCACCACCACCGTCGTTGTTCTAAATCAGTTACAAAGGATAATCGACAACAATGGCTAAGATGGAATTGGCCACGAGGAACAACGAGGAGCAACAAGAACCTTCCTCGCTCTACTACTTGCGGAAATCACCGAGCCGGCTTCGCACTATTGCGAATGTTACTTCTCTCTCAGGGCACCGCGATACGTCGACAACGAACGACAAACCAAAACGAACGGCGCAACTGCGCTCTAGATGCTGCACGAGCAATCGAGAATCGATCTTCCGAATTGATAACCGTCGCCAATAACTGTCGAGTCGCAATGATCACGAGGACTTCCTCCTCTTCCTATATATACTATTCTTCTATTGGACGTTTCGTTTCGGCACCTCAACGGTGCATTCTAAAAGTATATATCGAAAACTTAAATAATTGGTGTTATTTATGATGTAGGTTTTCAGTATTCGCTTCTAAATGCTATAGATTTTTAGTACTGTCAGTACATTTCGATATAAAATATCTTTATAAGAGATGGATTTCTTAATTCTTCCCGAATTCCTTCCTTGCTTCCTCGCTTCACCCCGCCCCTTCCTACCACGTTTTTCTAGCAACTTTAATTTCGGCTGGGAATTTTTCAGCTTGAAAATCAGGCGTTGATTTTTTTTTTGTAACGATGTACGATTTTCTATAAATTCAAACTCGGAAAGCTAAATTCGAGAATGTCGCGAGATTTCTCAATGGACGCAAGAAAGAAAGATTTATAAATGTCTTCGACATACGACTATTATGACTTTCAAACGCGTCACGTGACTTTCAAAAGTTCTGACGCGCGTCGAAGTAAAATGGCTTCTCCACGTTTTGCGCGTGTAGAGTTACCATACTGGAGTTCGTTCGGAAATTATGCTCAGATATGTGAGTCTGTTCGCGTTGCTTAAAATTTCTAGAACATAATTTTATTGGTAATTTTTATTTATATAATTTTATGAATATGAAATTTTAATTAACAACCAGAAATTACGTGAGTGCTACATCACGACAAATTGGTGACTTCAATGACTAAATTCCAATTAACTTAATTGCCGATTAATATTGATTAGATTATCCTTTAATTCATTTTTGTAAATTTTTTCTTTGTAAATTGTTTGCGACTTTTTTAATACATTTTTTTTTGTTAGTAATTTTTAGTGCGATAATTATAGGTCTGTTATATAAATTTATACTACCGTTATTTCGCATGTCAAATATAATAAAGTTTTTCAAGCTTTTTAATTGGTTGGTAGGACAGAGAGTTTCTCGAAAATATCAGAGAGAATCAAGGTGGAACGGATTCAGCCGGAAACTGCCATTCGTCAGCCATTTGTTAAAGTGAGTAGGAGGAATGAGTATCAATCATGAAACTTTATTTCCTAGGACGGAAAGTAAAAAGTGAAAATTTTTACCATTGAAATTAATGGGAAAAATTTTCACTTACCACTTTCTATCTTAAGGATAAAGTTTCATGATTGATATCATAGTAAATGCGTGATGGAGCATACGGTGTTGCACACACTAATATTGTACCGCACTAGTATTGTGTGTATGTACATATGCATACATGCACACATGCCCATTTGCGGAAGTGAGTGGACAAAAATGGAACCAATCAGAGAAGAGAACGTTATCCGCTCCACTCTCCCTTGATTATCTTTGGAAAATATCTGCCTATCATTAGATCCGTTTTTTATTGCTGCACTTTCTGGAAGTATTATTAATGAAACTTTATTTCTAGGATGAAAAGTGAAAAGTGAAAATTTTAATCGTTAAAGTTATTGGAGAAATTTTCCACTTTTCATTTTTCATCTTAGGAAAAAAGTTTCATGATTGATATTCTGAACTAGTACACACAAATATATGTTTGTTTCACTTTAACTTATTGGATATAGGTTCAGAGTAAAAAAATAACAGACCTATTCACTCTCTAGTAAATTTGAATATTCTGTGATCTAACCTAATTTCGCAATCATCTGTCATCTTCAAAAAGCACCAGAAGAATCGTAAAAGTCCTGTTAGAAACGTTCCAATTTTCTCTTTGTGAAATGTTATGAAATTTATTTTCGTGATTTATATAATCGTACATAGAGCATCTGTCTTAGGCATTCTGTCAAATAATTGACGCTAATAATTCACGTAAGTATTGTTTGTTAATCAAACAAATGTGTGTCGTCCTCAGTAAATTTATTAAATAATATTCTGTTTTTCAGGCAGAAAAACGTGGATTATATCGACACATGTTCTTTTATAAACAGTTTCTAGTACTTTCTTTTATAAAAAAAACAACAATTATTTAGATAGTATTGCAAGTTCATAAAGCTCCAACAATGAATATGACAAAGAAGATAAATGTCAACTTTTCATCCCTAGTGGGTCTAAAGGCAGAATTATTAAGAAAGCAAGCTGAAGTAAACGAGGTCAAGTTGAAAACCGAGTCTATTAATACACCACCACTGTTGAATAAGAAAAAGAACAAGAAGATTATTGCAGATAATGTAGACAAAAATGCCAAGAAATCTATAGATTCAGAGGATATTATCGCTCACAAAAAATCAAAATTAATGCTCGAAGCTAAAGCGAGATTGTATGAAAGATTGAAGAAATCCAAAAATAATAATGATAAATTTCTTGTTGATTTTGAGAATAAATTAGATGAACCCGATGAAGAATTTGTAGATGAAATGATTGATAAAGAACATCCCATAGAGCCACAGGAAAATTGGGTAGAGTATCAGGATTGTTTTGGTCGCACAAGGAAATGTTTGCGGGAGGATTTGCCACACATGCAAAAGAAAGATGAATTGATAAAGCATGAAATAATGAAGAAACATATCGATGAAGACAAAGAAGAAGATAAAGAACAATATCCTGTTCAAGAGAAAGAACCTGAGATAGAAATCATGAGAAGAAAATGGGAGGAGCAAACGCGAAAGCTTGCGGACAAAGTGGACATACATTATCAAGATATATTATTTGACGAAGCACGAGCACATGGTGTTGGTTACTATGCGTTTTCGCAAGATGAAGAAGAGAGAACGAAGCAACAAGAAAACCTGGCAAACTTAAGAAAGGAAACGGAGAGAAAGCAGAGGGAAATGACAGAAACCAAGGAATTGAAGGAGAGATTGGAACAGAATAGACTAAAGGCGGCGAGAATTAGACAACGTATCAGAGCAGGCTTACCAGCAGAACCTACAGAAGAGGAATTAGCCCAAGGAAACAAGTTAACTAATTCAAATGACGATATTAACACTAGCAAAGTTGAGTCTGCTGAGAAAGATAAAGAAAACTCTAAGGAGAAAGTTGATGATGCATCTACAAGTAACAACGAATCTACCCAAGAAGAGAAGACTAATGACGAAGATAAGATAAAAGCTTTTGGAGAACTTTTAGGCAAGAAAAATCACTGGCACATAATGTCGCAAGAAGAATGGGTGGATAAATGTAGAGCGCAAAGAATTAGCGAATTTGGGCCAGTTTATGATAACTTTAAAAGTACCGGATTTTACAACAGTTCTCAGAGTATCGATGAACATTTAACTCATAAAGAAAACAAAAAATTGGATAACACAGAGACTTGTAATTCCCAGGAATCCATTGAAGAATCTAATGACAATTTACAGAATCATAAAGATAATAATGAGTCTGTCGATAATGAAACGGTCTCAATTGTGAAAGATATTGATAGCAATAGCCAGAATAATAAAAACGATTTACCAGAATATAATGCAGCTGACAATTCTCCTGAATCATTTGAAAATACAATAGGACCGACATTAACCCCTACTATGACTTTACCTAACTTATCTCAGAGACAAGTAACAGTTTCATATCCGTTATCTCATCTATCCAGCAATTATTCACGAAATATATATGGGTACTCTGAGATATACATGTCTGAACAACAAACAACTATGGATATTCCTCTTCCTGGTGAAAATAACGTTTTACCTCCAGCTTCCAGCAGTGTGACTCACACAAATAAACAAGAATCATTATCACGAAGTATAAACGAAGATAACATCATGGCAGGTCTCAAATATTTAAGAAAAAAATTCGAAGCAAGTCATAGTAAATGGGCATAATAAAGTATTATTTATTAATATTATATTAAATGTAATTTTACTGTATATAGATAGTAATTTAATTTTATAAATAAAAATAAATGTAATCTTTAGTTTGCGGCATTCATCTCTTTCAAACAATCCTGTGTAACAAAACATCTTACATCGATCCATTCTTATGTTTTCGTTTCAATTTTCTGGTTTGACTAGACTGTGCCATCTCGTGTATTTCCATACTCGTCTGTGAGGCATCTTCAACATCCATGGCACAATTAGTGTTACTACCTATAAGTAATATTTTTTGTAATATTTAATAAAAATCAATACTTGAATATTAAGAAATAATGTGGTGAATATATATACAAGAAGATTGATATAATAAATATATCGATAGTTAAATAACATAATAAAGAAAAAAATCAAATTAAAAAATAAGATAAAGTTACTAGAAAGATTCTGTCTTGATGTAGAAAAAAGACAATTAGGACATCCTAAACTGTGATCTCTTGCATAATTCTTGAGACAAAAAACATGTGTAATAGCATCACATTTGTCACATTTGTCACCCTGCAAAATGACAAAATCTATCATCGTTGTAAAATAAAATACACGCATTCAATATTCACAAAGAACATTACATAAAAAAGTTCCTGCTTGCATAAAGTACAAATTTGAAGATTCTCTTCATAGGTATCTTTGAAATATTGCAATAATTCTGCTATGCTTCGTACTCCCATGTAATATTTACCATCCTGAAAGATATATCCTTCATAATATTTTCCTTTAAGAGACATACTATCAAAATTATATAATATAAAAATTTAATACCTTGCAGTATAACCATTGTCTATCGACCATTTCAAGTAAAAATAGTTCGGCATCAGTTTTAGTCAGTTTTGCATTTAGTGATGAACATAAATTAAGGCAAAATGTACTTGATACATAGCTATTGTCAGAAGTAATAATTTCCGAATATACATTTCGCAAGAGAGCTAATTCTGTTTGTGAGAAATGAGAAACATAGCTGAAAAATAATAAAAACATAACTGCAAAATTCGTGTAAAAGAAATACATTAGTTAGTAATACGTAAGTAGGTGTTACCTCGCAGTTTTGTCTTGCACCGTGCTCATAAAAATCCAATACAACTCTCCGGTAATTTCGCAATTTATGCGTTTTATGGTCATGCATAATGGTTGTAACTTTGCATTTATTTCACTTAATATTTGTGCCGTATTATTATGATCTGAAATTTGTCGATAATCCGATATTTGATTTTTCTTATTGTACACTCACCGTACACAAAAAAAATGGATTACTTTATCAACTTATCATACGTACCAAATAACCTTATAACTAATTCTTTTCCACGATCCTCATGTAAAGCACCTTCATGTATAACAGCTTGCAAAACAGTTTTATGTTGTTCGGAGTAAGGCATTTTTCGATCAACTTATTCGAAAAATTAAATAAAATTATAATTTTTAAATATTAGAAAGTGGCTTTAATTATTACAAAGGTTAAATGAAAAGGAGCATACGGCCACACTTTAAATACCTAGCGCCTTCCCGGTACTAGTGTTAAGATGTTGAACTACTATCCAATATACATTCAATTAAATTGAATTAATATTTCAGAATTAATTGAGAGCCGATAAATCATCGGATTCACACAATCATTCTGATAATCCCCCCAAATCCACCCAAATCTTAAAAAACTGTAATAAACTTATTGCGGAAAATATTGCCTCGGCCGGGAGTCGAACCCGGATCTCTTGCATTCCGTGCGAGTGTCCTGAGCCTTTAGACTACCGAGACCACGGAATGCAAGAGATCCGGATTCGACTCCCGGCCGAGGCAATATTTTTCGCAATAAGTTTATTACAGTTTTTTAAGATTTGGGTGGATTTGGGGGGATTATCAGAATGATTGTGTGAATCCGATGATTTATCGGCTCTCAATTAATTCTGAAATATTAATTCAATTTAATTGAATGTATATTGGATAGTAGTTCAACATCTTAACACTAGTACCGGGAAGGCGCTAGATATTTAAAGTGTGGCTGTATGCTCCTTTTCATTTAACCTTTGTAAAAATTATAATTGATACAGTAACTCGTGACTCAAACAAATGAAAACAAATGTCAATTACAAAGCGGGACTTTTCTACGCATGCGCAGCGACGTACGCGTGAAGTACCATGAAGTTGCACACAGGAGTGTGTTCATAGGTATATTTGGGAAATTTAGTCTCTCTCTCTCTCTCTCTCTCTCTCTCTCTCTCTCTTCTGTGTTGTGTATTCGTTAGTGAATCTAATTATTTTGTATAACAAATCAAGCATAACATATACATATTACACATTTTTTAATATCTCATTTTATTTTCGACAATTAATTCGTAATGAGGAAATTAAGACTACTAGGATTTTTGTTTTTAATTTTCCTTCTTTCTATTCTTAGCTAAAATAATTAAGACTGCAGCTCATTTAGTTTAATCGTTATAATGTTATTACTCTTCTATCAAATTATTGATTACATTAGAATCAATTAAAATCAAGCAAATGTGCGACGAATGCCACGAACAGTTTTTTTTTTTTTCCACAATCTCAACCACTGCTCATGCACAGATAGAAAGCAGTTGGCGACACTGGCGATGACGCGCGTGACGTCAGGTCAGCCGACGTCGCGTCAACTTACGGCGCGCTCAGCGCTGTCATCCGCGCTGTCACCTGGTCATCTGCCATCACCCTCACCTAATCCTGTCATCCGTCATGCCCTGCCTGCGGAGCGGATTTTTATCGGATGCGTACAGTGTCATCGCAGCGGCGTGCCGCGAGTGTGCCGCTGACATTATGACCTACGATTAGCTCGTGCGTCATGAAGGCATATCGCGAGGAGCGATAGAGCGACTAGGCGCAACGGCGACGACGCGGCGAATAAAAATTACGCACGCCACGACTGCTGCTGCTGCTGCTGTTGACTGACGTGAGACGAGGCGGGAAGAGGCGAGGTGGGACGAGGCCGCGACCCTGAGCCCGATACGAAGACGCGTGTCGAGTCCGCCCGCGGTTAGCGGTGGTGCAAAATGGTGTAGAATGCTTTAACGATAGCAAGAGAAGCTACGACGTACGGCGATAGTTGAGTAATCGACGGGCGGGATTAACTAGGAATTAACGGGTTTTCACAAACGAGAACGATCGGCGAGAAGTGAACCACCTGGGATTGGCGATCCTGCAGACTCCTGTGAGGAATCTGCGGTGACTTCAATAGAACTGTTATCACGAGCGATCCGCCGCGCCGCGCCGCGATTCGAAAGGTCGCGGGTTCACGATTGCCCTCCCCGGTCGTCCGGAGAATGACGATTCGGCGGTGCGTTTGACGCGGGCGACGCGGCGGCGGCGGCGGCGGCGACGGCGGTGGTGGTGGTGGCGGCAGCGACGACGGACGGACGACGACGACGACGGCGGCGGCTTCGGCTTCGGCGGTAATTCCTTCCAGTGCGTCGGAGGACGACGACGAGTCGCGATCATCCGGCCGTCCCGATCGCCGATCGGTCGTACACGTTCCTTCGGATACTTTGAGGCATTAATTAGCGGCGAGCCACGAATGTGAGGTACCGCGGGACTCAACATAAGTAAGATATTTCCTCCCCAATACACAGTGTGTGACGTTTGTAACAGATAGATATATATATATATGTACGATTGCGCGCCTACAGAATTATACGTTGTGTTGTACATACATATACCTATATACACGCGAGATCCAGGGAAACGAGATCAAGATGCCGCTCTTTGGGAAGAAGGACACGAATAAAAAGATCAAGAAGGATGGAAGGGACGACCGATCGCCCTCCGTTGAGGACAAGTACATCCTAAAAGACCTGCTGGGAACGTAAGTCGTCGTCCTCGATCCCTTGCCTGCCCCGTCTGACGTACAGAGTACAGACGTATGCGCCCCCCCCCCATTTCCATCCACCCGCTCACCCGTCGAGACACTTGACGCGGAGCCGAGGGAAAACACGTTTCTAACACATGTTTCTTCTTTGTAGTAAAATGGCTCAACAGCCTCCCTTTAGCGGGAATTTAACCGTTGGAGTGATTATCGCACCGCGATGTTTCACGAGATTGCGGGGCTTAGGAATTTAGCGGATAAAACGTCACGGATAAAAACACCTTCCTTTCTCAGATTAATTTGATATAGTGGCTCTAACGGATATCCAATTTCCGGCTTTAATCGCCATTTACGTTTATTAAAGAGCTCATGACATACCCAGATCTCAATCTCGCATTTTACTCTGGAAAACACGTCATTCCACGTCCGTGAGATATGCGAAACGTTACGACAAACAAATGTAAAGTTCCTGATATTTTCTTAACGCGCTTACATTTCCGATAAAGATAAAATTCCTATCTGCTCTCATGTATGCGTATATTGTACACATTTATGATGAAATGAATACTCTTTCGTCGATGAAAATCCAAGTTATATAATGTTATTTCTACTTCATTACGTTTTTGCATTTGTTTGGATGATAACACAGCGGATTGCATGGTAAGGGAAGGCGACATGTATATCTGCGCGTCTTTTGCAAGATCGATTAGCTTTAACACTTTCGTGGCCTGCCACGCGTCGCATATGCATGACATCCCGATTCCTCTGTGTAACAGATTGCTTATGAGAACAGTTATGTAACTGCGACCAAAGGGGGGACGGAGGAATGTTAACATATTCACATTTTTTTTTTATAACACTGTACTCTAAATCTTTGGAATATATCTCATTCGAAATTTTATATAGTCGATATTCATAGTCAGTTCTTATATTTAAAACGATCTTAAGTCTTGAGGTAAGTTATAAGATCCGTGATTTGCATCTTAAGACATTATTTAAGATGATCTTAAAATAAGAACGATCTATGGACTGGCCTTCGAATGAGATTTACGCCAAAGAATTTAAAGAATACAACGTTATAAAAAGAAAAGAAATCTTATTTTTTTTCAAGAATGAATTTTTACTTTTTAGAGAACCAGTCCAAATTAAGAAATTTAAAAAGTACACACAAAACAACTTCTCGTGTCGAAGAGCATGAATAACTATCAACATAATTCAAGGGGAGAGATATAGACCGGTTCTAATTTGCAAATGTACGACCATGGGTAAACCTGTTCGGTAATAAAAATGAGAGCATTCGTTCGAAATTCACGCGCGATATTATTCTTTCCTCGTTCCCGCGCGCATACATTTCTTTTCGGTTGTAGAAACGTGATATGAGCATGCATCTCGTGTGATATCTCAGGATTCCCAGGATGATCTCTCGCCCGTCCTAAATCCGACGAAATTTGTGTGACATATATGAATACGGGATGTCCCTGTAGGTTGTCGCGTATTCCTTTAACCGCAGCTTCCTCGATCGCGATTCGGAAATTGATTTCTAAATGAAAATGTCAGGTTTCAATAGCTTTTTCTTAAATAGAATTAATGATTCAAGATGAAGAGTTTCTTATGAAGTCGAAAAAAAGAATTGATAAGAAAATCTTATTTTATAACTACACATAGACAAATATTATTCTATTGTTAAGAAAAGTGATTACTCAATTTACTTTTCTTTTTTGAAGTTTATTTGATAAAGAATATTTTCTTTGATAATTATCTTAAAATATACTTATTACAAATTTTAGAAAAATTCATTAATATGTACTCAGAATAAGAATTTATTTTCTTTTATAAAATTAATTGAAGAAGCGACTTTATATAGTAAGCAAATCGATTGTTTTAATTTAATAATCTTGATTGAAATAAAGTAAACTAGGATTTTCACAATATATTTTGAATAAAGTCAATGTTTGTGAACTTGTTGAACTTATGATAGATTTACAGATATGTGAACTTTTGAAATACTTAAAACAATTATCATTTGCGTACAGTATATATTTTTTTGTGTATATGATGTTGAGTGGTTTTTATTTTTATAGAACTTTTATTTAACGCTCTATTGCAGACGATCTTGTAAAAAAAAATCAGGAAACTAATACTAAAAATTGATTCATTTTTTCAACGTTTTTGTCAAGGAGAAATCGATCTTAAATTGATTAAAGAACCGACGGTTGAAAAGACATCCGGTGACTTTTGGACATTCTACAATAGAAACGTATGCCTTGGCCTTCGACATGCGTCTTCCAGTTTCGAGGCGCGTAAATGGAAGTGTTCGCGATTTAATCTCTTCTTTTTTTTTCGTATCAATGAAGCCACTAATACGTCATAACTTTCTTTTGCGAATCACGAATTGCTTTTTTCTGTGACCAACGATTTTTGCGTATTTTTCTTCCTTTTGCGATATCGCTTATGAAAGATGTTTTCTTATGAATGATTCTTAGTATGCATTAAATCGCATTAAAATCTAATATGTAGTATGTGCGTCCATAACGGCACTTTGAAATTGCTTTCTTAAACGTGTCATCAGCTGGAATTTCTATCTTAGTGTTACATCGCGCGCATCGGATTTACGAGCTCTTAAAAGCTCTCACATCAAAAATTTATATATCTCTTATCTCATTATTATACACATTTTTTTATGTGTTTCTTTATTTTTCCAATCTTTTTTTCTTGTAATTAAAAGAGTAAAATTACAATTTCACTCTGTAGCAGTGCTTTAAAACTAAATACTTAATGATTGTTGACTGAGATTAAGATCAACTTGGACAAGTGCGCTGAATACCATCAAATTTTCTTCCTTGCTTCGTATACGTTAAGCGTTATTTATATCTATATTTTTTCAAAAAATGTTTTGAACGCGAGAATCGTTGATATACATATATATTTCTATAATGAAATCTATCAATACTATTTGTCAATTATTGTGCCATTCATATAACAGTTTGACAATACATTGCAATATAACGAACATTTAATATTGGATTGAGAATAGCGTACGTCTAGGCATGTTTTTATGTCATGTACACATAACGTTACTATAAATTTTTAGATGAATATATTGATTTACTTAAATTGAAATTAATATAATTGAATATTTGTTTTAAAAATTGTATAAATAAAAAAAGGTTAAAAATTAATGAATCTTATTCTTTTGTTATTTAGTTGTAACAATATTTCTGTAAGAGCTCGTTTTCTAAAGAGGAAGGTTTAACTTGTATTATATTGCATTTATTTGCAAAATATAGATAATTTTTTATTAAAATGCTCACAAATAGTGTTGAATTAAAATTATATTTTATTCATTTAATTCATGTTTCTAAAATTTGTTTATTGAAAAAAATAAAAATATAAAATATAAAATTTCAGCAGAATGTTTTTTTATTTTTTTATGTAATACTTTTTTGGTAATATTCCGTATACTTTTCAAAATACATCTGCAGTAACGCTTAGATATATGTATTTCATGGCATTTGTGTCAGAATTTATTATTTAGTGCACATATAAAGGTCAGTTTATAATTGATTATAACTATACCTTTGTATACGTTTAAAGAAAACAAACTGCAGTTTAATGCATAAATGAATAATACTACCACAAAAATACAACACACATATAGAGTCTTTAATTGTAAGCAAATTTACTTTGGACCTATTGTACTAAAATATTGTATTTTTCTCTGTTTAGGGGAGCATTCTCTGAAGTGAGACTGGCGGAAAGTAAAGAGAAGCCGGGTCAAATGTTTGCCGTAAAGATCATCGACAAAAAGGCGCTAAAGGGCAAGGAAGATTCGTTAGAGAATGAAATCAAAGTTCTGCGAAGGTAAGGCGCAAAGCGATTCTGAGAGCTGGGCCATATTTTTAGTAGAAAAATTGTTTGTTTACCAGTACTGTAAACTCCTTGTTTGTGGTATATAGCTGCTCCTTGATATTTAGATATTTGGAAAACATGACAATTGAATAATTTAAGTACCAGTTCTATTATCGCTGGAATCGACTTCGATATACTTATACGCATGCTTCTCTCTAACAAACATTCTTTACTTCATAAGAATCATACTATTCTTTGAATATTCCCTCCTACCCTTGTAGCTTTGAGTATATCAGATAGATTTACATATCATGGCATCGCAAGTGTAAAGCTAAAAGGTATTATTGACTTTTGCTTTCTTGACAAATTATTTTGAGAATCGTAAATTGTTCGATATCTGTTCTGTTGTCATTAATCATATGGGAAAAGTATAATAGCTTTAATCTATAAGCTACCCAATCATTTTGCTTTCTCACTTATACGATGTTATCATGGTGTTATAACTCAATTCACACGTAACATGCTCTTGGAAAGTTTTTTGTTTCCGAGGAGCGTTGTGATATGGTATTTGGGAGTGAGCTCTGATGGCTGTCGTCTGTCCTTCTACTATTCTTTGATGTTGTATGCAAATAGTGTGTCTCGTACATAAGCTATCTATCTATCTATCTATATATATACATATATATATA